AGGGTTAGTGAGTGCTGAGTGATTCGCTTACGCTAAGATTCACACAGTAAAGGAGGGGGTGAGTAGCTCAAATGTGCTGTTAGCATGTTAGCAGAGCGATGCTACCCAGTTCAGAGCAGAAATATTTTTGTTAAGATACTGGATGTTGTGTTTTTTTCCACAATTTTAATTATAAGCTAGATATATTTCTACTAATGAAATTAGTTCGCTAACAGCAACAGGGATGAGTCAGTGAGTCAGTTGGGCATGTGAATCATGATTCATGAGTCAGTGAAGTGATTCTCGAGTATTGAACGATTCGTTCATGATTCGTGCATCACTATTTTCAACAACACCATGGGAATTTCAGATTTCACACAGGTGGTTGGATGTTACACTCTGGAAATGGAATGATGGTGAGTGTTACAAAAGTGTTACACTGAGTAACAAAAAATAATTTCCCCCAGGGATTAATAAAGTATTCTGATTCTGATTCTGATTATTAACCCTCTGTGGTCCACGGACACGCTGCACCTCCAAATCACATGACTGATTTAAACAGACACAGCAACAAGCTGCAGCCACGCTGAGTCTCTATTTCAGCCCATATTGAAAGTTTTTAAAGTTTAATTACAGCCCAGTAAATCCAGAGTTATGATAATATATATAAGCCACGTTTTTTTCTATGTGTATGTGGTTTTTGTTAAAGTGTTTTCTAAGGACAGCGCAAAAACAGTAAAGAAAGAAAAAAAAAGCCACCTCTTTCGTGTCGGTGGAAAAATGTACCATGTCGACCAATTTAAAAAAAAAGTCAACAGGTGGGTTTTGGTTGTTTAGGGAGAGGGAAAAGTTTTGGAAGTGACGGTAATGGCAGCGAGACAGAGCGAGCGAGTGTGTGCGAGAGAGAGAGTTTAGATGTGGGAGATTTGTGACGTTTAGTGTGGAGTGTATAGTTAGTGTGTTGTGTTGTCTTGTGTAGTTGTTCTGTTGTGTAGTTGTTGTTTTGTTTTGTGTGCCAGTGAGGGCACTAATGAATGTCACAAAGGCATATTGCATTGTAAACACTGTCACTAAGTAGAAACCAGCGGAGTGATACACCTCCTGTTGTCAGGCCTGCAGGTTTATCCCTGTGCTGTTCTCCTCTGTCTTCTGGTGGAAAAACATTTTTTTTACTGACACACATAATTTGCGACACCTGATTGTTCTCTCATTTTAGTTTTAGTAATATTTTTAAATGGTTGTACAAAATGAAAAAAAAAGGCAGGTGTATTGGCTGCATTATTAGATAAATAGTTGTATATGTTTATAAAATGTACAATTTATATTTGCATTTCAAGTTATAAAAATTTGCTCAACATATCTGTTTTTTTTACAGTAAAAAAATACTACTAGTGTGGAGGTATGTAATAACGACAGGAGAGGTCTCAGTGTCTCACTCCAACTTTATTAACTGACTCTCAGAACTTCACATACAGTAAGCGCCAAAATCTCCA